TCCCCAAGCTCCAGGCAGCCCCCGAGAGGCCCCTGGCGGGGGGCTCGGGGGGCAGCGCCCCCCAAATTTCTTGGGGACCCCCTTCCAAAACTAAAAGGTGATTTGAAAAATCGAAACGTTTCGTTCGAAACTTTCGTTCGAAACTTTCGTTCGAAACTTTCGTTCGAAACTTTCGTTCGAAACGTTATTGGGACCCAAACCCTATACAATTTCTATAAACCCTAAACCCTAAACCCTAAAACCCGAAACCCTATAACCCGATCCCTAAACCTAAATCATTTCGAAGAGCAATCAGATTTGGGAACAACCTTAAACCTTACAGCTCGCTAAGCCCCCGTCTAAACCCCCCAGCCCCCGACCTGCAACCTTAAACTTCAACCACCCCCCCCCTCCCCCCGCATTGACCCCCCAGGCCCCCCAGAAGCAAACAATTAAGGCCCCCAGATCCCTACAGCCTTAAACTTCAACCCCCCCTCCACCCCCCCCAAGCCCCCAGAAGCAAACAGTTAAGGCCCAAATCCCTGTAGCCTTAAACTTCAACCCCCCCCCCCACCATCGTTCACATTTCGTTCAAAACTTTCGCTCAAAACGTTTCGCTCAAAACTTTCGGTCAAAAAAAACTTTTTGGGGCCCAAACCCTATACAATTTGTATACACCCTAAACCCTAAACCCTCAAGGACAGGGTAAATAGAAATTGTATGTGGTATCATCATGAATGACCCTTGTTATTTGTATATTCAGCTGATAAGCAGAGCTTAAGTAAATGGATTCAAAGCGCTTTCGGAAGGCCAAATATTCAATTTACTTAAACCTCCGCGCTCCAAGCTGTTTGTCTAATCAACTGACAAACAGAGCTGAAATAAATTCATCCAAACTCCTTAAGCCCCATTTGCAGCCCCAGCCCCACCAGCCAGCCCACCCCACGCGCCCGCCACCCCAGCCCCAGCCTCCCAGCTTCAGGCCAGGCGCCAGCCCGCAGCCCCAGCCCCAGCCCCGCACCCCAGCCCCAGCCCCAGCCCGCCCCTGCCCAAACCAAAAAAAAAACGTTCGCTCAAAACTTTCGGTCAAAACTTTCGCTCAAAACTCCAAAACTCCGGACCTGAACACTGTACAATTTCTATAAACCCTAAACCCTAAACCCTAAACACTAAACCCGAAACCCTAAACCTTGAACCATACCCTGAAGCTAAGTCTTTCGTCGATTAAGCCAACCTTGGTCGATTAAGCAAAGGCCCTTCGTCGATTAAGTTTAATCGACCAAGCAGGAGAACAGCATCCAGGCTGAGCTAAAGAAGCTGATGCTCGGCCCACTTCCTGCTGTTGAGCCTTTGAGATTTGGCGATGTGTTCCCTGAGTGATTGGCTTGAGCCCGAAGTCCGCTTATCTATGCTTAACTGCCCGCGAGGCACTAAGACTAAGACTAAGACTGAGGAATGCAGCGGATAAAGCGGAAGTGCGACAGGTACTGGGCGAGAACATCAGCCTCTCGCACTATGCGACTCGGCTCCCCGCAGTGCCGACATGGGTTTGACATGACAATCCCGCGAAACCCAGCGTGACTTCCCTCCAGGAGCCACAGTCGAAGGCCCCTTTCCAGCGAGGCCTGGCACTTCCTGTAGCGTGTGAGGAGCCCACAGGTTTGATTTAAGACGATGGCAGGGGTTCACAACGGTTTCAGAGGCTTCAAAGAAGGTGTGGCTATTCAGCCCCTTAGCAGGCCGACATGCGATCTACGAGATGAAGCGGCTTGGTTTGCAATCCGAAAGGATAAAAAAAGGGCTTCAGGTTTGGTTTGGGTGCCATGCGAAAGACAGTTTCCGCAGGAAGGAGGCAGGCATTTGCAGTCGTCCTCAATCTTTGCACGCTAGGGAAGGATGCCACTGACAAGCAGCACATGTTTTGGTGTTAAGCATGGTGATGGGACGGTGGTGCTGACAGAATGTAGTTCGTGACGGCTGCGAAAGCACGTGCTTTCACAGTGCAGAGTGCAAAGTTCACCCCGAATACGATTACACCCCGTGTCTGATCAAGGTCTTCGACTTCAGCACTGGGACGACTGTCTGTGTGCATATTGCATCTGTCATGGAAACAGCCAACCGATCAACGGATCCCGCTGTGCCCCCATGATAGCCGACATCTGTCAAAAATGTGATCCTCCTGTGGCACGCCATGCCTTGTGGCAGTCCCCAAGCCCCCCCTCCCCCCCACACCCCAGTGGCACGTCCTGTCCCCCTCTTGTAGAAGCAGCATGTGCAACACGGTATTATCAACCCCCCCCCTTGCCACACCTCGCTGTTGTTGAGCAGCATGTGGAACACGAAAAAATCACCCCCCCCCCCCCCCCCCGGACACAACCCGCTGTTGTTAGAGAGCAGCATGTGGAACATGCTATTATCTCAATGGATATCAGAATGGATTTCAAGGAAATATACATGAGAATGGAATTTCGAAAGTAGGATCATAAATATTATTTGAAAATTGGATATTAGAAAGGGATTCAAAAAGAGATAATGGTGCAAGGATCGTATACTCCCAAAAGCACAAATTGAATATGAATCCTCCTCACAGATGCATGCAATGAAAAAACGATTTTTATTGCTTCCTAATAATGGACGAAATCTATGTAAAAACATCTGAATATAGGTTTCAGGGAAGAAAAAATGATTGATTTGATGATTGAACACTAGCATGGAATTCAAAACCATGATCTTTTGATTGGATAATTGATTGGGATTTAGATAAGATGATATTTCTTCTGATTGGGTAATAGGACAGGAATCAAGGAATCAAACCCATGATTTGGATATTGGGGCAGGATTTAATTAGGATGGGTCGTTTGATTGGGTTTACGATAGAATTCAAGAAAAAACGATTCAAACCCATGATCGATTTGTAGGGCGGAATATAAAATGAAGGGTCAAAATACAGAAAAAACCTAATTAACATGAAAAATAAGGACGATTCTAAACCATGTTTTTTCATTGGATACCAGAAGGAGTTTCAAGCAAAAAGATATTTGAATTTGATATTAGAAAGGGAACTTCAAAGAAGAAATGGTGCAAGGATCGTTTATTCCCAAAAGCACCACTCAAACATTAATCCTCCGCAGAGATGTATGCAATGAGAAACGCTTTCTATTGCTTCCCAATGGACGAAGTCCATATTAACAATCTCATGGAAGCGACTTGTAGGCTTTCGGCCTAGGGCTTAGCGGGGGTCTGAGGGTGGGCGTGAGGGGCCTCTAGTTTTTCGTCCTTCAGTGAAGGGCCTCGAATCCCTCATACTTCAGGCGCTCTAATCCCTCGTGCTTCCCAAGTGGCTGTTTTTGTTCGAAAACGGTCTACTACAGTCTAGTCACTTTCTTTGACTAATCCCTCATGCTTCGGGGGCGAGTCCCAGGGTGGGCGTGAGGACCTCTGTTTGGGAGGGTCCCAGGATGGGCGTGAGGGTAGGGAGGGTTTGAGGGGGCAGTGAAGGGCCTCTAATTCCTCATGCTTTGGGCCAGCATCAAACCCCTCCTGCTTCGGAGGTCTCAGGGTGGGCGTGAGGGGCCTCTAGTTTTTCGTCCTTCGCAAGGTGGGAGGGCTGAGGGGCAGTGAAGGGCCTCGAATCCCTCATGCTTCGGGGGCTAATCCCTCGCGCTTCCCAAGTGGCTGTTTTTGTTCGAAAACGATCTACTACAATATAGTCACTTTTTTGGACACGGTACTTTTCCTTCGCCTGTCTGAGCTGGGGAGCGGGACGACCGCACCCTGAGGGCCGAAGGTGCCAATGAAGGGCCTCTAATCCCTCATGCTTCGAAGCCGAGTTCCAGAGTGGGCGTGAGGGCCTCTGTTTGGGGGGTCCCAGGATGGGCATAAAGCCCCTCTAGGGACGGCCTGAAGGGGGCAGTGAAGGGCCTCTAATTCCTCATGCTTTGGGCCAGCATGGACGTGGGGCCTCTGATCCCTCCTGCTTCGAGGGCCAAAGCATGAGTTAGAGGCCCTTCACTGCCCCCTCAGGCCCTCCCACTGACAAGGACAAAAAAATAGACACCCCTCACGCCCGCCCTGGGACCCCCCCAAACAAAGGCCCTCACGCCCAGCCTGGGACTCGCCCCCAAAGCATGAGGGATTAGAGGCCCTTCACTGGCACCTTCGGCCCTCCCATCCGCCCTCCCACCCTAGGAAGCACGAAAGATTAGAGCCCCCGAAGCATGAGGGATTCTCGAGGCCCTTCACTGCCCTTCAGCCCACGCCCACCCTGAGACCCCCCCGAAGCAGGAGGGATTAGAGGCCTCACGTCCATACTGGCCCAAAGCATGAAAATTAGAGGCCCTTCACTGCCCCCTCAGGCCCTTCCACCCGGGGAAGGACGAAAGACTAGAGGCCCCTCACGTTTATTCTGGGACCCCCAAACAGAGGCCCTCACGAAGCATGAGGGATTCGAGGCCCTTCACTGCTCCTCTCAGCCCTCCAGCCTGGGGAGGACGAAGACTGGAGGCCCCTCACGCCCACCCTGAGACCCCCCGAAGCAGGAGGGATTAGAGGCCCCTCACGTCCATGCTGGGAGCCCCGCGACGGCATTCCTCCCGCTTCTTGCGTCCTGCGGATTAGCCAACGCAACGCTCTGCCCTTGGGCTTCTCATTTCTTCCTATTTCGCATTTGAGCGGAATATTGTCTTGGGGAGTTTCGGCCACCTCTAGAGGGCCTGGGCCGGGCGCGGACCATATTTGAGTGTTGGCAAAATTGCAGGCTCATGAATACTTTTGGCATCTCCTTCAGAAAAGCCGTTGTAGTCGACTCATTGAAACGGTTTCGCTTCAATTGGAGTAGAAACATATAACCCTCGGTCGTCTGCCAAGTCAATGACTGGCAAAACTCACAAGCACACACACACACACACACACACACACACACACATCAGCACTAAAGGCGGCCAACGTTCTATACAAGAGCGGGCTGCTCTGCGTAGGGTCTTACAGGATGTGAGAAGCTGTACTCAGCAGCATCCAGGAAGTCAGAATATGTGGCTGCACGCATCTAGGAAGTCAGAATAGGTGCAATCGTGCTTGACGATGCTGCAGGATCCGTGGGGCACAAATCCACGCAGAGTCCATGTCTGACCCCGACCACCCGGACACGTCAGCCACAAAGTGCATGGGCAATCTCTCACTTCCAAGGGCGTCCAAGATAGACGTTTCGTCTCCTCACGACTGTGGAGTGTCTTCCCTGCACGAGAAAGGGCATAGAAGAAGCAAGTTGGACACTCTTGGATGGCCTCGTTGATCTCCTTGCCGTTGTACGTCTTCTTTTCATACTCGCGCCATTGCTTGTGATCCTCCCGCATCAATGCCAAGATGATCGGTGAATTCTCCTCCACATCCTGGACCGAAAACACGAACTTATACACGACCTTACACTGGTACTCCACTTTCTTACGCTGGAACTTGCCCACTTGTCCACTCTGGAGGTGCTTGCCACTCATCCAGCGGTTTCTTGCCTCTTCCGACTCGATCTCGTCACCTTTCTTGTAGCTGAGCTCGTGCCGTTCACGTGCTTGGTAATCTCTCTTGGCCCGTGCTCTTGGGATTTCCTTGTCAGCATGTCCGTACACGGATGCGGTCTTCCAAGCCGGTCCGAAGGTACGATTGAAGTAGACGTCGTCGACAAACTCGAGGAAGTCCTCAATGGCCATCCAGAAGACCCCCTCGTCCTTGTTGGCTACCCCAAATGCCTCGCGCAACTCATCGGTCCACTCTTCGGACTTGTCAGACCACGGACCCTTCCATTCACCCTGTGCATGCGGGTTTCGAATGCACAGCATCTGGTGTCCATGCGCTTCCTTCACCTCTAGGATCGAGTAAGAATGATTGCCAATAAGGCCCAACCAAGAGTCCGCATACTTGCCTTTGCTGGGTTTCCAGAAGTCGGTAGTCAACACCTCCCCGGCCTCATAGGCAACTTTCAATTTCTCAAAGTAAACCGACGGTTCCTTGTGGTACGCGGGACATAGCAAATACTTCCCATGCACGCCGCTCAGACTTAGTTGGCCAATGGACCATGAGAAGAAACATGCGCTGGAGTTGGATCTCAATATCTTTCACCGAGCCAATACGATTAACATATGGCCGTTGGCCAACTACCCGAAAACCAAAGCCCATTGGGAAGCTAAGAAGCAAGGAGTGAACCGCATCTGGGGTGTGGCCTCCGTAGCAAGTCTCGACACACTTGTAGAGCTTGAAATAGGCCTTTTCCAAAATACTCACCCATAGCTCCTGTTGGCAGGGTTTATTTAGGGTTCAGAGTCGGTTTGGAGTGTAGAGGTTAGGGTTTTAGTAGTAGGCTTTCTCCAACATACTCACCCACAGCTCCTGGGGGCTCGTACTTTTGGCCCAGACCCTCTTGCTGGAATTGTTGACAGGAAGGTAATCGTCGACGATCTCATAGGTGTAGTGGCCTTCCATGCTAAAAAGTACACCGTAGACCCCGACCTGAATATCGTATGCTGGGAATACTGTACGCACGAAGCTTCTGCGACGACGGACGATAGCCGCAGTGCCCCCCAGCAAATAGCAGTCGCCCACGTCACCTTGATCAACGTCGTTCGCATTCTGACCGTCAATGGTGAGCTTTGGGTCGTCCAGGAAGTCTGTCGCTCGCTCCCATTTTTTTGGCAAGGCAGACGAGGCATGCCGGGGATTCCAACCGTTTATGCATGGCTTCTCTCTGTCCACGAAAATGATCGCCTGAGTTTGGCCAACTGCCCACGGGACGAAACGCTTCATGTCTTGATAGCAAACCAAAAGAATCAGCTGAAAGCTTCGCCATTGACCAAGAACCCTAAACCCGAAACCCCAAAACATGCACCCTAGTTCCTAAACCTCAAAACCCGTAGAACCCTTGAAATCCAATTGGCCTTCGCAGCTTCCTCGCTCGTAGTAGGATTCCATGAGCTGTCTGTGTACTTGTCACCAGCACCTAACACGGCTTGGGGTTTAGGGCTTAGGGTAGCAACAGGGGGCCCATAAAACCTACACCCTAGCCCCTAAACACCTAAGCCCAAACCCGTAACCCCTAAAAACCCTAAGCCCTAAAACCTGCGGCCCTCTGAACTCAAATCGTATGTTTGGGCCATGGGTTTGCCGAAGCTGCTTCATGTTCCGTTTTAGTTCACTTAATCGGGCCACAGAGTCTTGAATCCTGCACACAGCCCATGAGGTGAGAAGTTGATGAACTGAAAGAAACGTTTTTGGACCCAGGCCCCCATACAAAATGAACAAACCCTATACGCTAACCCAAACCGAATCCCTCAACCTAAACCCTACAACCCTTAGAAGTTGTGCCAAAACACAACTTCCGACGATCTCCTCGCGACAGGATTTAGGGTTAAGGATGCGGGTTTAGGGTGGAGGTTTTAGGGCCTTCAAGAGCTATTCTGGAATTCCTTGAATCCAGGCTTGCACAAGTGAACGTGGAATTTCAGACTCCTACCCTAAACCTTAAACCCTAAGCCAGAAAGCCCCAACTCCAAACGGACCCAGTCCAGCAATCCACAGCTTTGGCTTTAAAGCTAAGTTTTACGATCTATAGGGGCGATATAAGTATGATGCTTTTAGGGGTGTTTCGAAAGGGGTGTCGGGCTTTGGAGTTATAGGGTATAGAGCCTTGTGGTGTTGGGAGTGCCCTAAACCATCCCTAACCCTAAACTGTTGAGCTGCTCCTGAACTTCCCGGCGGCAATGCTCTCTGGCTCGCTGTAGGGAGGCCATAGCGCCTCAGTTTGGCGGACCCGAAGCACCAAACCCTGAACCTGGAAGCCTGTTTAGGGCTTGGGGTTTAAACCCTTAGACCCTCACCTTTGGCCATAGCACTGACCATTGGCGGGTTCTCACTCGTCGCCTTCATCACTGCCTCCATGTTTTCCTCACCGATCTTGGTCATTGCCTGCAGAGAACGCTTCTTACCCTAAACCCTGGACCCTACATAAATCCTAAGCCCTCGACCCTCAACCCTAGACGCTGGAGGAGCTGAGGGTTGAGATTCGTCGATTTGCCCTTGTCGAGCTCCATTCTTGCTCTGCATTTTTTGGCACAGCAGGGTTGGATGGCTTACAAAGAAGCTGTAGGCTTGAAGCTTTGGGCGTAGAGTTCAGTTTCCGGGGATACTCTGTCTGAAGGCAACTTCAACTTCTCAACTGTGCTGCGGCCCTGTGATGCTCCTGATGAGAGCTTTCTGTCAGGACGCCATGAGGCCAAAGCCAAATCCCGAACCCCAAGACCCGAATCCGAAACAAACCCTAAACGGCCCTTAACCAAAGTCACACCAAGGTCTTCGACCCACCATCTTCATTCTACATCTCAAATCACATGACTGACCTCTGGAACCCAAATCCAATCAGCCTAACTTTCTAAACCCTGGATCCTTACACCTGAACCTTTACCCCCTGAACCCCAAACCCGCAAACCCTAAGGCAATGAATCCAAGTTGGCAGCTGGAAAAGCAGCAAGGATGCAGAAAGCACCTCGTACTCGATTGCAGAGAGCTTTGCAGACTTCGATGTCAGCTCGCTCCACGCTTCCGAAAACGGCTTGTCCTTCACACTAGACCGTTGCTGTTGTTGTTTGTACTTCGCCTGGTTTCTCACCTGGTAACTATGAGCCTGAAAATCACGACATTGATTCTCAAAACCACTAAACCCTAAACGCCGAAAGCTCTCCTGCTTATTGAGGTGGAAAAGGAGGCCGTCGCAACCCGTTTTCTTGGCCAACTCGATTTCTGCCTCAACCTGGTGGCAGAGCGTCGGATTTAGGAGCTTAGGGTTTCGGGGTTTATAGGGATTGCCTATGCTGTCAGCGTCTGCCCTCAACTCTAGGGGTTACGGGCTTTATGGTTCTCTAAGACCTGTTGTCCTGGAGACACCGCCCTGAGGCCTAATCCCTGCGAGGTCTCTGGCTTACTTCAGGTTTTGGCTGTAGTGTCGTGGGTTTACGACTTGGGGCTTATAATTCAACCCTAACACCCTAAACACGACCGTAAACCTGCAAGCCTGAACCCCGAAGCCCAAATGCCAGAAAAATCTACATCGCCCATGCTGTGAGCCTCTGCAGACGGCACCGACAAGTCCACAAGCTCGAGCGTGCCATGCTTCACCTCCACATAATCAAAGCTGCAGAATTCAGGGCTTACGGTTGTGAGTGGTACGGCTTAGGGTTTAGGACCTCAGCGTCCCGGCTTCAGAGGCTTGCAAGCACATAAACACGGCGAACCCAACAAAATGAAACAAAACAACACAAACAACTTTACCCGAACCCAACCCGACCCAAACCAAACCGCACCAACCAACCAACAAAGGAGCAACACGAACAACCAACTTCAACGAGAGATTCAAAAGATTTAGCCTGCTGCCCATCTACTATCTAAATTTCTGTCGCGTGTAAACAAATACACAGATACATGAAAAACACATAACTAAAGGAAGAACTAAAGGACGAAAGAGGCGGAGAAACAAGTTCCTTGTGGCCGGAGCACCGGAGGGGGGAAAGGACCAGGCGTGGCATCACAGATTACCTTCGAATTCTGGAAGTTGTAGCAAAACTGTTCAAGCGATAGCTCAAGCCTTGATAGAAATCTTTCGCTTTCCGGCCAAGCCGGTGATGAGCCGTGAGAGGGGCCATCTATATCGCAAGTTCACATTCGAGCTGCTGCAGACGTACAAAGCCCTCAACCCTAAACCCTACACCCTTAATATCCGACGCCGAAACCCTAAACCCTAAACCGGCCTTGCCGACTGCGGCACGCAACTCTTCCACGCCGGCGGTGCCACCCATTCCCCCGAGCTCCGCGGCGAGGTATTTGAGTGCGGGATCCTCCTCTTTTTCAAGAGGTCAGAGGGAGGGGTGGGAGTTGGGCTTAGGGACTCCTTGTAAGGAGTAGGGTTTTGAGATTTAGGAATTCAGGTTGGGAGGGGTGACATGACTGATATGTGGGATTTAGGTGCGTAGGCCTTCGGGTCTGAGTTTACGGCCTTGGGTGATAATCTTACAAGGTTCAGCTTAGAGTGTAGGCTTGGATGTATTGGGTGTAGGGTTTAAGGCTTCAGGTCTGCGACTTTGCGCATGTCTGTGTGGCTGCCAGCTACATACCGCCAAGCTGCTGATCACCACGTCACCACCTCCAAGCCTCAAACCCACATCCTACCACCCACACACACACACACACACACCCTTCCAGTCCTACCCCCAAACCCTGAAAGGGTTTAAGCTTTAGGAGGGGTTGGTAAGGTTTAGGGGGTCACATCTCCTCTTGCTTCAAGTCGGCCAGGCAGCCGTCGAAGCCCTCAAGTGCCGCTTGGCGGCAAACGCCAACTGACAACATGGCAGTCGCCCACTCCTCAGTCTGAGCTTAGGGTCGGTCTAACGCTTACCTCCTGTCACAATGACTGCCCCCTCCCCTCCCCCTCCCCTCACCCATCCGCTAAAAGACGATGTACCAACATAGAACCGGTCCAGGTTGCAGGGGACTCGGTCTTGAATAGTTAAATAGTCGGAGATTGGACTAAAAACTAGTAACTAATTCATGAATTTGCGAATTCAGTTAACTGAAGGAATCTAAAACCAAAATGATCCGGGAGCAGGAGGCCGTGAAGCTGCGAGCACCAGTTCGCTACTCAAGCTACTTAGCAGTAGAGGAGGAGCAGGAGGAGGAGGAGGAGATAGTTTGAGGATGTTGCAAGTCCGTCCAAGGCTCATGTGTCTTGAAAGAGGATCGGACATGTCAGAGGCTGCATAACAAGCATATATATCCCAAAGTCTCAACATCCAACATCTGGAGCTTTCTTTCGGGAGTCAAAAGTTTTGACCACGGATATCAAGATTAAGCCGTTTTTCTTGGGTTGCGTTCTTGTTTCTGTCACTCAAATATGTTCGCTCCCCCGTCTTCACAGCTAGCTCCCCCGTCTTCACAGCAGAAGTAGATCGGCGCAGTACAGCACTTGGGGTTTCAATTCGTTTTGACTACTACCATTACTATTACTTTTACTATGGCATTTTCTTTTATTTTGATTATTACTGTTACTTTCCTATTGCTATTCCTCCTCCTCCTACTACTACTGCTGCTTCTGCTACTACTCCTACTCCTACTCCTACTCCTACTACTACTACTACTACTACTACTACTACTACTACTACTACTACTACTACTACTACTACTACTACTACTACTACTACTACTACTACACTACTACTACTACTACTACTACTACTACTACTACTACTACTACTACTACTACTACTACTACTACTACTACTACTACTACTACTACTACTACTACTACTACTACTACTACTACTACTACTACTACTACTACTACTACTACTACTACTACTACTACTACTACTACTACTACTACTACTACTACTACTACTACTACTACTACTACTACTACTACTACTACTACTACTACTACTACTACTACTACTACTACTACTACTACTACTACTACTACTACTACTACTACTACTACTACTACTACTACTACTACTACTACTACTACCACTACCACATTCCTTGCTCCAGGACCAGGGTTGAATTACTTGGACGCTCGTGGAGAATGCAAGCGTGTTGTCTTCTGGACTTTCGTTGTCAGGTGTCGTCTTCCTGCAGCTGGCAGCAGCGGTTTCGTCAGTCAAAACACAAAGTTCAAAACGCCAAATGCCCTAGACCTGAAACCCTATGAGTGTGGCTTAGGTACTAGGACTCTTCAGGCAAGGCTCCGCCCGGGACACGATTGTTTCGGGACCAATGCCCTCGATCTCCTCAATCGATTCCGCCGTGACAGGCTTCGTTGGGCCGTCAACCGCCTGACCACCTCAGTTGGCCACTTGAGTATTGAGGGTTGAGGGTTTTAGGATAGTCTCACTTTAGGGCTTAGTTAGGACTTATACGGCAAGGACATCTCCCAATGAGAAGATGTGAGGTTTAGGGTCTATTGACCCATTACTACGAGTAGCAAAGCAACGACAAACAAAGCTTAACCATTGGCCAACTCAGCTGCTACTCGGTTTATTTTCGCTGTCATCGTCGTCCTGCTCACCATCGTCATTCTTGAAGCCTCAGCTAACCCTAAACTCTAAAGTCTAAAGCCTTCGTCTGACCAAATATCCCCAAACCAACGCATCAGAACACGTTTCGCCACGACCACATGTCTGCTGGCCACAAAAATGACAGTCAGCATGGCAAAAAGACAAGCGCAAGTTGTTCGCCATGTAACCGACCCCTAACAACAGGCGTGCTGAGCGTGGTGAGGCCTGCCCCTTCTCCCCTAGCCTGGGCGGCTCCAGTGAGTTCCCCCCCCATGCTCATGATGCTGGCTGAGCCCAAAACACTCCAAAACCATGGTTCCCAACCCTGTTTTCGAGGGCTCTAGAGAGGGGGGTTGGGAAGGCGGGTGTCCAGCCAAAACACTGATTCCCAAACCCCCCTTCAAGGGCTTCAGAGAAGAGGGGTTGGGAAGGCGGGTTTCCAGCCCTACACACTCCAAGACCATGATTCCCAACCCCCCTTTCAAGGGCTCCAGAGAAGGGGGGTTGGGAAGGCGGGTTTCCAGCCCTAAACACTCCAAGACCATGATTCCCAACCCCCCCCTTCAAGGGCTCCAGAGAGGGGGGTTGGGAAGGCGGGTTTCCAGCCCAAAACACTCCAAGACCATGATTCCCAACCCCCCCTTCAAGACCATGATTCCCAACCCCCCTTTCAGAGAGGGGGGTTGAGAAGGCGGGTTTCCAGCCCTAAACACTCCAAGATCATGATTCCCAACCCCCCTTTGAAGGGATTCACGGGAAACATGACCAAACGCATCTCTGCTTGCAATCTTTGGCCTCGTCATCTGCCATTTCACACACAGGTCCTGTATTTTCCAGCAGACCCCTACAACATCCTGGCAGCGGGGTTCAAATTCATCCAAAGTGCGACAAAGTAGCTCAAGCATGTGCAGTTCAGATGGGGACCAAAATACCCCGAGTATTCACGGGTTTTCACGGGGTTTTCACGGGGTTCTCACGGGGGTTTCACAGGGTTTTCACGCTCTTTTCACGCGCTCACACCAGTTTAGGGTTCAGGGTCCAGCTTCCCCTTTACAGCCCCCTCACCCAGACGCGGCATTCTCCAAATCGGATGCGACTTAAGTCTCCGTCTGTGTTTTGCAGTGCCCTATGCTGCGAGCTGATCGATACTAACTTAGCAAAAACAAGAAAGGCAATGCAAGCTACAGTAAAATGACCCATCAACAAGCTAATGAGAAAACTGGGGCAACCCGCAAAACCTTCAAACCACTCACTGCAACTGAGACAACTGAGACAACTGAGACAACTGAGACCTGAACCCAGAACGCTTTCCAAGCCAAAGCCGTCTGCAAGCATCCTCTTCATGGTGGAAGCAGAAGATCCAAAGACGTACTGGATAAACTCGTCAGTCGTGAGCTTGCCATTTCCATCCTTGTCCAAAGACCCGAAGAGTGTCTTGCAATCATCCTCGCTCAGCCCACCATCACCTCCAATCTTGCCCAGCACCGCCAGCAACTCCTCCTCGGTGAGCTTGCCATCGCCGTTCTTGTCGAACTTCTTGAAAGTCGCCTTCACGCTGTTGATCACATCTGCGCCTAGGCGGAGGGGCTTCAGCGAGCTCGGAGAAAAGGAAAAGTAGTCCTTTCTGAAGTTCACGTACACTTCCATGCCGTTGTCTTCGTCATCGTCCTTATACCTGATGGACATCACCTGCCCGATATCGCCCTCAGCTATGTCCTCATTGGATTTCACCCACTGGACCCGCTGACCCTTTTGGACCGGGCACAGTGAAAGCTGCTTCGGCTTGATCGTCCAGCCTCCTTTTGGCCTGAGGCCAGTTGACCACAGGAGAAAACATAAACTATGAATTCCCTATGACTCTTCACAAACCGGAGAATGCAAAGTTTAGCCATTGGCCAAGCAAGTGGCCATATGATGGACATGCGGTTCTCACCACGCCTCATTCGGACTGCTTGCCCAATAGAGCCTTTGGTTTATTGTGCAGGGATATTTACGGTTTAGGCTTGGGGATGTTTAAGGGGTGATCTAGTTTAGGGTTAAGAGGGGGTCGCTGCCCGACGGCGCCTTCCGGAATGTCCGAATCGTGCTTCTTCCAGTGGACGTAATTGCCTCACAGGGTCTACATTTCTTTTTCAGAAGCCCCAAAACCCTAAAAACAACCCTAAAATCCCTAAAACCCAAAAGCCCCAAGATCCTAAGTCTCATCACCTGGTTGGATTCGGTAGAGCTCGAGGTCCTTCATCGTGAGGGTGAAGGTTCCATTCATGAAATGAACCCTGAGGCCGCTTTCCTCCACCTTTAGCCCGACCACTTGGCCCACTTCACCACTGCGAAGCTCCGTCTTCACGAAGGCTCCCAACTGTATTTCGCACAAGAACAAGTCCTCTGGCTTGAACCTCCACGTTCCTTTAGCAAAGTGAACTTTGACCTTGCCCTCGTCGTTCATGTCTCCGACGACTTGTCCCACCTCACCTATCGGGATGTCCTCGTCATGGCTTGTCCACTGCACATATGACAGTGGCTGGATGTGTGCTCGCACCATTTCAGATGGCTTAAAACGCCATGTGCCATTGGGAAACTTCACCCTGACCCTGCCTTTATCATTCAAGTCGTGCGAGGCAACGCCCAGGTGACCCCCCGGGATGTCGTCATCGGCTTTGGTCCAAAACACAAGACTCTCGGGCTGAACATCGCACAAGATGAGCTTCTTTGGCTTGTGCTTTTGGTTCTCGCCTTTGACTTCAACAATCACTGTGTCATCATCCTCGTCCATGCCCTTGACCTCTCCAATGGCCTCGTCAGAGTCACCGGCAACTTGCACAAATGCACCGACCTGAATGTCCGACGCACACAACCATCTCGGATCTATCTCGAACTTGCCCGTGCTGAACTTGACCGTCAGCTTGCCGTCATCATAATCATCACAAACCTCCACAATTTTGCCAAGCTGATTGCGGTCAACGTGCTTGTCCGCATTCATCCAATATACGAACTTCCCTTCCGTCAAGTCCTCATACCCCTCATTCTTCGACATGCTTGCGCTATTTTGCGCCGCACGGAGCCTTTCTGTCCTATCCCTGTGAGTGGGTCTGGCCACGGGCAACTCAAAAGCTCAAGCTTCAGGTAGAAAGTTTATCTGGGGACGCGTGCAAAGGCCTCGTCCTAAAGAAATCCGATCGCTGGTAAGACTCATGGCTCTTTTTCTCAAGGCGCAAGACTATGAGGGTTTCAGAGCCCGTGTTGAAGCAATCAATCAACATCAAGCAGCAGCAGCAGCAGCAGCAGCAGCAGCAGCAGCAGCAGCAGCAGCAGCAGCAGCAGCAGCAGCAGCAGCAGCAGCAGCAGCAGCAGCAGCTTTATCGGGGCTTAGGGTGTATATCGGGGTTATGGCTATGGGGTTTATGCAGGGTTTGGGCCTCTGAAGGGGAGTGCAGGGCCACCCAACCCCATGTCAACCGATGATGCCGGGCTGCGGGGGTCGCAGACCAAGCCTTTTTGCCTGCGGACAGTTACGAAACCTGCATATGTATGTGAGTATGTGTGTATACAAGCAGTTGTGTACTTGTGCAAGTAGAAGTTTAGATACGTACGCATGCATAATGTTAAACCCGCACACTATTGTGGGTCTAACCTCAGGTTTGCTTTTGCCTGGAACATGCAACATATCCTTAGGGGCGGATTGCTCTTCGATGCTCGTGGCTTTAGGGCTTCAGGCCATCCTGCCATCCTCAGCCTCCTGATAATGATGACGACAGCTGTTGCTGTTTTGTTCTTTTTCCCCACCCTCGGTGTGGGGTTGTTAGATTTTCAACTCAACTCTTCTCCTTGCCCGGAACTCTCCTCGCCCGGAACTCTTCTCCTCGCCCGGTCTACTCCTCAACCCCAAAGTGTCCTTGGAGTGCCCAACTAGAGTGTCCCAGAGTGTCCCCAAAGCGCCAAGCCCCGTCTCCCTGAAATGCCCAACGCCAGACATTTTTTTGGCGTGCCCCCCCCCCCCCCCCCCCCCCCCGGAAATCTTCCAGCCCCAAAGTCTCCCTGGAGTGCCCAACCCGAGTGTCCCCGGAGTGCCCAGCCCCAGAGTCTCCCTACAGGCCCAACCCCAGAGTCCGTGCCCAACCCCAGAGTGTCCCCGGAGTGCCCAACCCCAGACTATCTCTACCAAAAGAGGGTGGGGATGTTCGAAGTAAAATAATTGTTCTGCTTGACACCAGCAGACGGCGAACAAATGAAGCCACTGTGGGAGGTGAACCCTGATGGGAACCCTCTGGTTACCCAAGGCCCCCCCCCACCACAATGCTCTGAGCTCCCAAAGAGTGAGGAGCCCCTGACACCGGAACAGGTGCTGGGTCAGCAGGAACGAGAGGAAGACCTTGCACACGGCGAGGGCACCGACTCAGAAGAGCCCAGCCATGAGAAGGTTAAACCTTCCGCCTCGCCCGACCAGTATCTAAGCATCATGAGCGCCAATGTCACCAGTTTCAACAACGGGGCGTTGGAGTGGGTGACCTCCTCCAAAGCCAAGGTGGTGTGTCTGCAGGAAACCCACCTCACACCGGAACTGCTGCATGGAAGGCGAGCCACACTGCAATCCCTAGGATGGGATCTCTATGCTGAGCCGGCCTCCCTGTCGGACAAGGGCACAAGGTTGGGGGGCACTGCTTGTGCCTTTCCCAAAAATAGCGGAGTGTGGCAAAAAGCCACCTACCAATTCAAAGGGGCGGGCTACACAGCCGTGGGTCTGAGACAAAGACGCTGGGACTACACGATTGTGTCCCTCTGCCTGAGGGACACGGAAGGCCTGAATGGTCCCACGAATGCAGAGGTGCTATCCTCTCTGGTGGCTTTCGTAAGAACCCTCCCTGAGCCCTGGATCATCTTGGGGGATTGGAACCTGGACCCGACTGAAGTTCAGGACACAGCGCTGATTCAGGTGATGCGGGGGCGGATGGTAGCCACTGGAGAAGCTACATGCAACCATGGGGCGGAGCTGGACTTTGGGGTGGTGAGTAGGAGCCTGGAAGCCCTGGTGGATCTGTCTGCAACCTGGGCAGTCCCGTGGAAACCACATGCAGCCTTGCACCTCAAAGTCAAGGACGGTGCTAGCGAATGGAAGTCCTGGAAACTTCCCCAGTTCCCGAAACTCACAGCAGACCTCAAAAACCAAGAATGGCAAGAGGTCCAACCCTCCCATTTCGCCATAATGGACAGGACCTGTGCCCAAGAGGACCAGAGCACCTGGCAGCTGGCGACCTGGGCGGCCAGCCTGGAGCACTGCCACGAAGCACCGAGGACTGGCAGAGGTTGGTGTGTGCAGGCCCAATGGGGACCCTTAGTCTTGCAGCGCCCTTCCACTGCCCCCAAAGGCTCTGAAGTGGGCTGGTGGGCACGCATGGCCAGAATCCTGGAAGAAGTGCCCGCCTCCCAGCAGCACCTACCGGACCTAGGCACCCTCCAAGCCTGTCAAGACATTGCTGAAGGTACTGCCTTCCTCACAGAACTGTACCAGCAATGTTCAGCAACAGCACCACAGTGGCGGTCTTTGAGTGTTGTTGCCAGACACAAGGAGGCGGCCCTCCAGATGCAGAGAGCCAAGGAGCAGCAGGCCCAATACAAGGACTGGCTCCAAGCGGGATTAGCAAAAGGGATGAGACCTCTCTATAGTTCTCTCAAGAAGAGTGAGAGAGTCCTAGATCGGCCCTTCCAAAACCTCCCAGGCGAAGAGCGCCCAGGGGCCAGGAGGAAGCAGTGGGTCGCAATTTGAGGAGAGGTAGAATGTTCCCCCCCGATTGGCCAGACCCTGCTGGATGCAGCAAGAGCCTCCCCGCTGTTCAAAACAACAGCAGAGATGCTCGAGGCCATCCTCAAGAATGTCACTGACAAGGCAGGAGGTCTTGATGGGCTCACCTATGCTGCCCTCAAAAACCTCCCTGGACCGGCCTATGAGCAGCTCACCCAAGTCCTGAACTTGGCTGAAACCACAGGAGTGGCGCCACAGCACTGGCAGGCGCACCATGTGGCACTCCTGCCCAAAAATGCGGACATAGAAAGGCCCATAACCCTCACATCCATCACCTATCGGCTTTGGTGCTTCTGCAGAGCACAGGTCGTCAAGAAATGGATGCGAGAAACTGCAGAGAGGTTCCCATGGGATAAAGCCTCCCCGGGTAACACTTGTCTAGAAACAGGCATGCAGAGACTCCTGAGAGGAGAGGTTAGCCGCGCAGCTAACAAACATGCCTGTGCGGTCCTGTTGGACCTGCAGACTTTCTATGACAGTGTTGATTGGACCAAACTGGAGGAGAGGATAGTGGCGACCGGCTTCCCGCCAGCTCTAGCCCTCCTGGTCATGCAAGTTTACCGGGGAACGAGATATCTCGTGGCAGAGGATCTCCTTTCGGAGGGGATCCTCCCTGCGAGGGGCATCCTAGCCGGGTGCCCGTTCGCAACAATGATGGCCAGGGTTTACCTCCAGCCAATAATGCAAGAAGCCGCTCAGCTCCGCAGTATCACCGCCCTAGACACCTGGGTGGATGACATTGGAGCAGATTTCGAAGCACGATATCCTGAGCAGGCAGCGTTTGCGGTCTATGAAGGTTAGAAAACCCTTCGCCGGCTTCTGGAAGGTAGCGACCTCCGTTTGTCCCTGAAGAAAACAGGCTTCCTGTGCACCACTGCAGAAGCCAGAAGGGAGCTACAGAAGCTGCGCAAAGATGGGGACCCGGCTATCTGTGTGATAGCATGAAGGATTTAGGCCTGGACTGTGCCCTGGGTCGGGTCCGGAGGGTCAAGGTGCAAAGAGCCCGCAGGCACAAAGCGGGCCAAAGGCAGAAGAAGTTGAAACAACTGAGAGTCCCGGGTGTGCCGGCCAAGGTTCGCCTCTTCAGAGGAGGGGTTGCCTCCGTCCTTACTTGGGCCACCAAGCCCAGGGAATGCCGCCCACCCGGAGACAGAAGCTCCGGACTGCCTTGGCTGAGCAGTGTGGCAGACAGAAAATGGGCAACCTAGAGGTGGCTCTGTCCTCTGTAAGCGACAGGTACCAGGATCCGGGCCGCACAATGATGGTCCAGCAAGTTGAAGCCTGGTTCCAGCTCAAGAAGAGGTGGGCCGGCAAGGAAGACCTGCTGGAAAGAACCTGGGGCCTTACAGTCCAAAAGCTGGAAGAAGCCAGCAGCCGGTGGCAAATGGTTAAGGGCCCTCTTGCAGCTACAGTTGCATACCTGCTTGACCTGGGTTGGCAGCCTAGAGACAGTGATGAGTGGCTGGACACCCAGGGCACCAGGCACACCATGCACACCCCGCAGCAGGAGTGTCGTGTCCTTGACCTCCTCCAGCAAACTTACCAGGAAGAAGTAGACCGCCGCATCGCCACCGGCCTCGCTGCTCCTGAGCTAAAGGGGGGAATCGACTGGACAGTAGGGAGGAAACTGTTGCAGGGTTTTAAGAAAGAAGGGCGAACCACGAAAGCAGCTACCCTGAGGTGTGTTTGGCAGGGTGCCCTGGTGTGCAGCCAGAACTCTGCTGTCAAAGTGTGCCCCGGTGCCACCAGGAAGCGGACTGGGAGCATGTGCTCTTGGATTGTGCTTGGTGGGAAGCCCAGAACTGGGAACTGCCAACATGGTTCCAAGAAGGCAGGGCCCAAGGCCCGAGATCGCTGTGGACCAGGGGCCTCCCGCCCAAACTGAATGGCAGGTACCACCTCCTCAGGAAGACAATCCCATCTTTTTGGGCATATGGGCTGACAAAGAGCCCCTCAGTGACCCAGAGCTTGTTTATGGCACAGATGCTAGTGGTGGCCTCTTCACGGCGGACCCGCGACTCCGTTGAAACTCGTGGCACAGCTACGGGGCCTAAGGGACCTCAGGTCAAGACTACACTCAACCCTCACAGCACGAAGTGCGGACTCTTTTCACTGCGCTGTTCACAGCTTCTCGAGCTCCGCTCGTCTTGAGCCAATGCGAGCACGGCTCTCCAGCTTCAAACACTGTCTGCCAGACATGGGAAAACAAAGGTACTTCAGGTGAAAACACTCAGCCA